CATCGATTATCTTTTTACTGTAGTTTGCAACGTGTTGGCCAATCACAATGTACGAAATTTGTCGACCCAATGTGCATTTGGAAAGGGTCGACAAATTTCGCGCGTAATGATTGGCCAACGTGTTGCAAACTCTTGGTGGCGCACTAGTGTGAATCGCCCGTAAAATATTAGCGTCGTCGAACAGCTCAACCAATGAGTATCTTCCATCTCAAAGGGTCACATGACTTCCTGCTAGAGTCATGTGCAAGAATTGGAGTGTCGTGTGTAAAATGGTGAAATACAGAATAAGAAGTCTAGAGCCGGTTGCGTGTAAGTGCTTACCCGCTCATCTGTGGTGAACGACTGACAGTGACAAAGTCTAAGGTTTCTGAATATTAGCATTTCAGGGAAACTTACCACGCCTAACCACGCAGCCACGTGGAGGGGAATTTCCGACATGCCAAGCTGAGCAGAGAAAACACAAGGACAAAGGAGTGAAGCAACACACGATCACGCCAGAGTACAGCATTAATAACTTAATACAAAATTAGCGTCTCCGCTATGTACATTTCCAAATAAGCTAAATAAAAGACCCTGGAAATGCACAGAACGAGATTAAGTAAAACTAGGGGGCGTTGGAATTCCAACAAGATTTGCGGGTGCGCAAAAATATTTTCCTGTTTTGAAGGCTTGTTGATTTTGGTTGACGTGATCTGAATTTTTTTTAGATAAGCAGCTGTCCAAACACTGTATTTTCTTGGCGTTTGCGACTACAATTAAACAGTATAGTTGGCCTATATAACTAAAAAGTAATTAAAAAACCCAGCAACGATAAAAAAATATCGGGAAATGATCGTCATTGTTTCAAAATCCACACACACGTCCAGCTTCGTGAAAACAGTCAACAGATATCAACTCAAACTGAATAAAACAAATCTAACAACTACTTCCATGATTCTGCATGTTTATTACTACTGCGACCATCGGATGACCATGGAACAATGTTACATGCACCACATATCGGGTAGGAAGGTTGGCCAAATGATTAATTATGGAATAATAATAATGATAATACTACACTGTACAACCCTTGAGACAAGAGTCAATATATGCCACTGTACAAGAAATAATTAAAATAATTTAATTATTGGTTTGCTCAAAAAGTAGGATTGACAGTGACGGAGAAAAGAATGAATACCAAATATGACAAACCTTGAGCAGTGGTAATAATTATGCAATAGTTCTCACATTTACAGTACAAATATTGAAAATCCCCTATAAAAGTCTGAACTGGTACAGTTTATTATAGTTCGGCTCAGTTCAGTTCAACTCAGTTAAGTTTTCCAAACGCCAAGTTAAGTCGTGAGGTCGGTATCAGGCACACCAAACGCCCAAATGAAATAATAGGCCTGCAACCAAGAGATCAAACCGGAGTTTCGTTCTGTAACAATCGTATGGCATATACAAGTACAATGCATTAAGTTCGACCATGAGACTCAAAAAAGAAAGCTTGCCACGAATTCAGGCGACAAATTAACCATGAAATTGTCCTTTTTAGAGTCAACATATGAACGGAAAATTTNTCACAGAGACCAAAGTGACAACAATGAGAGACTTTGAGATGGTAATTCGGCAGGAAATGCTACATCCAGACTATTAAAATTACACATTCGGTTCGAGCAAACTTTCCGCGTTACTCAAACTTTGAAGATGGTCTGGAAATTAAAAAGAAGAAACCGCATGCACGCACATTCCAAGACGGCGCATCACAGATGGTAACGTAAAGCAACAGAAACTCTAAGCATAAAGTCCGGTTTCTTCACTGCTCTTGACAACCATCACATACATCCTCACAGAAACACTGATCAATTACACGACCGTAAATTCAATTTCTTTACAAAATCTAGTCATTTATGACTACATCATGCAAATTGAACGAATTTGTTACCAGAGGATGTCTACCGACGACGTAATCGTTTTGTCTCAGCGATTAGGCCTGTAACAAAAAAATACCAAAGGTACGGGATCCCCGAAAAACCAAATTTTTATTCACCCGTACCCAACGTTGGACAAATAAGTAAATAAAACAAAATGCTCAGCGTTCTAACAGAGTGAATAGATTCAGAGTGCGGGTGGTACAACATTTTAAAACCTTTAGTTTAGCAATTACATTAAGAGGAGGCAAAACCACTCGCAAACGCCCCTAATATTCAAGAGGGCGAGATTTTGAAATAGTATATCAGACAACTTGAAACTAATAGTGACTTCCAAACACGGTTAAAACGAGTGGATGCGCTGTATAGGGGCAAAGAATAAAATTGCAAAAAAGGCAAAAAGGTTCATCAAAACCAAAATTGATCATTTATTGGAATCGTGTCAAATCTGAAATCCCATTTTTCAATGGGACAAACCTTAAGTACTGTCACAATTATGTGGTCGAAGGTGGTAATATAAGCATGGATATAATGTCATACTTTTCATCTGGAAGAAAGTTGATTCACAGTGACTGGGTACTGGACATAGCAGCACAGTCTAAGAGCACCCCATTTGATTCCTCATCATGGTGCCAGTCAGCTGTCTCCTTGGGGTGATTCTAGGATTTCTGTGAAATAATACGGACATGGTGATACAAAGGTGTTTTTGAGATAAGAAGACATGTTTTTGTTTGCCTCAGGCATACTTGGCCATTTTCACTCATGAATGTCGATATGTGCGCACATCATTAATTTTTAAAATACACTGGTAAAATGTACCACCATATCCGTTTTAAAAATGTGGTTCTGTATAATTAGGCTGTTGCAGCAATATGTACTTTGCACAGAGGAAGTAGACCAGATAACTCCAGTTTGTTTTATCTTGCTTTATCTGTGCTCCGCTTGAGAGCTGCAACATCTGCATCTTCATTTGTTCCGGTCTGCAACTCTTGCGTGACAGGCCTCGTGCCAAGAATCTTTGTTAAAAAGAGGCACCTACGGAGGCCCATGCCAGTCAACTTGTGGCAGCGCGAGCCGTTCTGGTTAGAGAATTAGGACGCCATGAAGTCGCTATTTGTATTGATGACGCTCTTCGCCGTCTCGCACGGAAAGAGTTACGATGGGTAAGTTTCTTGATATAGTTTTAGGGAGTCATCCATGTTAAGGATGTCTGCAACTTTAATGAGAAAAAGACCGAAAACTACGAAAATATTCGTTCCAGTTTTCTTGATAAAGTCAAGTATGATTGCTTGAGAATACTCCACAAGAACCCTAAAATTCTCTTGTACATTTTAAAAGTGACAATTCCCCGAGCCTCATTTTTCTCTGAGATGTTGCATTTCCAGCTGTGACATAATTGTAATCAACACCAACCGCAGAGGTGGTAGCGAGTCTGTTTTTGCAAGTCTAAGTCAAGTTAAACGACAACTTTTGGAAGTCTAAGCCACGTCACAAGTCATTTGATCACAGACCAAGTCAAGTCAAGTCACAAATTAATTTGCTCCAAACGAGCAAGTCAAAATTTGTTGACCAAGTACAAGTCAAGCCGCACATTATTTTGTCTAGCTGTAAAAATTAAACGGCGCTGGGCATCAACTTAACAGGCGTAGTCCTAGAGCCATTTTTTGGGGGGTAGGCCCTTTGCACTTGACATCACCTTTTGACTTTAGCTACGGCTGTTTCCTTTTGCAATTTATGGGAGGGGATAGGGGAGTAAAGGCTTCCCTTGTAGAACCTCGTCTGCAACTTATGTCTTGCAAGTTTTAGTTACATGTGCACATATGTACTCACACTTTCTCGTGCGATATACCAGGTGTACTGTTGCTCACCCACAACCCTTGATAAGACGTTCTAACGCCCTCATGTTTTACTCATTCCTTGCGTTCCCAGGGTCTCTTATTTATCTCAGCTTTGCATACGGAAATGTGCAGGCCGCTGACATTTTAGTTATTCATGCTACCCTCTGGCGTGTTCGCGTGTTCCTTCACTCCGTTGTCTTTGTGTTTTCTCTGCTAAATTTGGCATGTTGGAATTTCTCCATCCACGTGGCTGTGTGGTTTGGCGTGGTGAGGTTCCCTGAATGCAAATATTCGGTTACCTCTGACTTTGTAACTGTCGGTCATTCTCCAAAATGATTGTGTAGTTCCTTTTTGCACCCGAAACTAGACGTTTGTACACGTGACGTCTTATTCTGCACTTCGCCCTTTTTACACACGACACTTAGGATGCGTTCGCAAGGTTACTCCTGTTAACACGAGTAGGATGCGTGAGCATTACACCCCCCAGCTAAAGTATATTCACGCTGACCTATCGTACTTCAGCCGTTTGAGCGCTTATGAGTGTACTCGTGTTAACATGAGTAGCTCGCTCGCAGATGATTCTTGCACACGACTCTAGCATGAAGTCAGGTGACCCTTGAAATAGAAGACTCCCAATGGTTGAAAGCTTTAACGACATTCATATTGTCTTGATATCTAAGCCTCTAAAACCTATAAATACGGCATGATTTTGGCTAGCTCGTCGGTCAGGTGCGGCGGGACGAAACCCTTAGCGTAACCTAATGTAGTGCTGGAGTTGGACCATTTCCGAGAATAGTGCAGTAGTTCTGAACACCCGTTCTTATGATAAAGTGCGGGGGGGTAACCCCAAATCAAGCTTGCTTTGCTTTGACCGAGTGGAGAAAGTTGCAGCATCGAGCGGCCCACCATCTCAAGTCCGAACCGTTGGCCGAGAGAGACACACCAGCGTCAAGCGGTGGGGGACGGGGGGACATGTAATATAGCAATTGTCCTTCCACTACTTTCCAAAACCTAAATTAAAATGTATATTAGACATAAGCATTTGTAAAAAAAAATTGCTGAAGTAGCCAGTAATTGTCTTAAATCACAACACAGAGCAACTATACTCCAAAATTTCCCGGGCCCCTGAGCGGGTCCTGGACCCCACGCCGCTCAGGGTTTCGCGCTTCACGCTCACGCTCATCAGGGCCACCCCCCCTTATGTATACGATGCGATATACCCGTACCGTATCCACTTTGTTTGACTTGCATTTCCAATGCTCTTGTCAAGCCATCGTTTAGTTACACACAACTTCGCCTCTTATGTGTAGCCCTGTTAAGCGGATAGGTGGAAAAAATATGTTTTTACGTACAAGCACGAATTTTAGCATAGTTCAGAGTTATGGCCTTGGTAATGTTTTGAGGAGTGGGGGCACTCTTTTTGGCTCCAAATACCGTATTTGGCATAAGGGGCCGACTTCTTGTATTGTTATTTATGTATGGCTAAAAGGCTCAAGGGAATCCGAAAAACATCCAGATGTGTGTGTATTGAAGATTCAGATTCATTTGGCATTGTACAAATGGTATTTATTGGAAAATCAGTGGGAAAAATGACCACGAAGTGCAATGATATTTGGCTCAAGGACCTTGATACATTATTGTTATTTATTCAAGTAAGACTAAAGGGTACAACGTAATCTGAACGACATCCAGGTAATATGTACATGTGCATTCAAGAGTCAGGTTCATTTTTTGTTGTACAAATTGCTGGAAATGTGGCGGCCAAATATGGCGGCCACACTTGAGAGGGTCGACCTATTATTCGACCGTTAGAGGTACAGCTAAATATTTGATGCTTATTTTTTCAGGCTCAACAATTCTTTACTTGCAAAAACGCATTTCATGTTTGAAATATGTTGGCCAATTTTGTGCAAAGACGTCTAACCCCGAAATTGGTTTATATAAACACCTATATATGAAATAAATATGCTCACGTCAAGAAATATGGAGGCACATAATCCTCAGAATGTCCTGCTGAATGACATCCATAAGGATCTCAGGACGATTCTGAAAAGTAACGTGCTGTTCATAATTTTAGTTGATAACATGTTAATAAGAACTTGAACAAACACAATAAATGGTGTGCTACATATAAAGTGCAGTAGCGACACAAAGGATTTAATTTCAAAGATGCCTTTCTGGATTTGCACTGCCCTTAGAGCAGTTTTTTATGCTAAATCTATAATAGCTCTTTCGGTAAATTGCCGGCCCTTGATTTGGTTGTCCACGTCGGTTTGCTTTGGGTAGATTAAGTCATTCCTCAGTTTTTAATTTATGCCCAGCGTCAGTACCGGCCCTTTTGATGTGCTTTACAAATTGAAATGCAGCACAAATTAGATGGATGGCATCCATGGATCCGTATTTGTAGGTGAACCTTTTTGCTTGTTTGGTTTAGCTTTGTGCAACAAAGAGTTAGTGTTATCATGAGGAGAGTGAATCTCTTAAGGTCAGCTCCGTCCTCTTCGTGGATTTGAGCTGGCCCTGTGTCGTAGCATAAGAACGTGGACTATACATTTTTTTTCACACTCTGCCACGTTTCCCATGGATGTATTGTTCCTTTGGTACTGAAAACAGAGACTGTCTCAGCCAGTGAAGCCTCAGAGACATGGTTAAAATAAAAGAGGAAATAGGAAGTCAATTCCTTGGGAAGCGCAAAAACCTGTTGAAATCTAAGGTGACACAAATATTGCCTATTCAGCTATAGTCACATCAGTTTATCAAGTAGGACAAAAGACAAACAAAAGGACAAGATATTTAATCCTATACCACTATTAAACTATCAAAGCCTCTATCAGATCAAATCAAAAAGAACAGTGTTATTGTCTTGTCCTCCATGAAAGAGGTCCAGTGAAACCTAGAAGGTTTCTTTACTTGAAATGATCGTTCTTTATTTACATTTTATACCAGTCACTTCATGGTAATCTGAATGACTTTTTTCAACATAACAGCTTGAAGTCTCAAGCCAGAACCGAGTGTGGGCAAGCCATTAGATTTGTTGGGTATAACAATCTCCTTGGAAATTGCAAACGGTCTCTGAGAATTCATGGAAATAAGAGTGATTGGGGCCCTCTAAGACAACAGATTACAATTCCGAGTATGGAGGGTTACTATCAACTACTTTTGACATGTACTGTGTAAAACCTCCATTTCATATAACGTCGCCTTTCCATATGCGCGTCAGTACTTGCGCCTCGCGGTGCGTATCCGTCAAAATTGATTCTGACGGCCGAATGCAACGCACACGTGTATTATGTTATGGAGTTGATTTTGGGTCCGTGAGTGAAACGCATGAACCCAGCCTGTACGCAACGCACCAAAAAATGTACATACGGAGAGGCGTCTTTACTCGTTTAACTCCTTCTGGCAATGAGGAGACTGACACATGATGTTGCATTTTGCAGATGCACACAAATGAAGGTTTTTTTTACATAACTTTCTCTGGCAAACTGTGGACAATGTTGTTCTGTCTGTGGCAGCAGTAACCAACGAGATATCAGAGCTGTTGATAGAGCTGTTTCATCATATGCATTTATGTTTTACTTTTGGTTTTGTTTACCCATGTTTCCAGAGAAATGAAATAAATAAATAAGGCTCCGATGAATGATGCGTCCGAATTTTTTAATACTTGCCTGCGGCCTGAAATTACGCACGAGTCTTATATGGTAGCAACCAGAGGCGGCTGATCGAGTCATCTGTGATTTCAAGCCGCATCCAAGTGATTCAGACGTTGCCTTGGGCAGAAAAAACCGAAATAGAAATCACGAGCCGATAGAATTCTTACGCTGATTTCTTGAGAACGCAAGGCTCAAATTGACAGACCTAATTTAAAACGTTAATAGGTTTGACTGAGTACATTTCTGACTTGCGTTGGTGACAAGTCGTTGTGTGCAAAACTAAGTAAAGTTACAAGTCATTTTCTGCCAGTCTAAGTCAAGTCACAAGTAACTCGAGTCCAAGTCAAGTGACTCGATCTACAACTCTGCCCGCACGAAACTAGTGGGCCCCAAAGGGATTCCCGAGAACTTCTTATTTCATAGAACAGTGTGCAAGAGCTAAAGGCAAGCATTAATTCCTATATCGAACACTGGCTGGATGTGGAAGGGCAATGCTCACCAGCCTAGTTATCTCACTGAGAAAGGTGTGGAATACTTTTATCTCACGACAACGTGGCTCACTTTGATGCCCAATTAGACAATCCTCCCTTGTGTTGTGTGTGAAGATTATTTTGGGAAAAACATTTTCTGAAAGAGAGCTTTCACAGTTTGCCTTTATAATTCTCTACCTTTCCACCTTTTTCAGGTATCAAGTATTTGAAATCACACCCAAAACAGGAATTCAGTTTCAACAGATGATGGATTTGGACATGGAACTCTTCGACGACGTATGTACAGGAGTGTCTTATAGAACTTAAAGAAGCATTCTTGACTAGAAGAATCTGAGACTTAATCCGCAGAGAGGTCATTACATGTCGGACCAACACACTTTTTGTTCTTAGGTCTTCAGATTTCGGTAAAAACTGCTGCGCCTGACATCAATGAAAAATAAATGAATGTCAATTTTAAGCGGAATCCGAACTTCATTGTGGTCAGGGCAGAGATCAACAAAAATGGGCAGTTTTAACTTAACGTAAATTCTGACTTTTAATGAAAATGACGGATAGCCTTCTCATTTTGTATCAAATATATGCAAATGCGGTATCAAAATAATAGGAAGAACATGCTCCTTTCACCGATGTGGAAATTTAGCTTTGTGAATCAAGAGTCAAGATAACCTTTGACAAGCGTTTGTGACCTTTGAACCCATTTTAAAAACAATGTACGATTACTTATGAAAGTATTTCCTGTTCTAGAAGAATCCGCCTAAATCTTTCCGTGGTATTTAAAATAAAAAATGTGGTAATTTTCTACAATTGGTCAGCTTAGAATAATTATGTCAATTTTGTGTGTAATCCTTAAACAGGAATTATGAACGCAATTAATTTATGCTCTAAAATGAAATTAACCCTAAGGTGCATGTAAAATCATGTATTGATATCGGAGGATTGGAACAGTTAGGGTTAATTAAGTTTTGAATGGTTTTCAGAGCCAGAGCTCACAAAATCATCATTTTATTTGAGGAGACTATTTGAAAAATTTAGGAACATACGGTAATTGAGTCTGAATGTATGAGGACTAAGGAGCTGTCATGTGTTGACTGGGCAAAACACGTGAGGGTGCTAGACAACATGTACTTACTATACTACAGTACTTCGCCTTGCACCTTGCATAGCCACAATTGAGTACATGCAAGTCAACAGTGTTGCACAAATTTTAACCCTAACCGCAGCACATTGTTTTCCAGAGATTGAGCCTTTGAGGGTAGGGCCTATTAGAGCAACTCTTTGCAGCCATTTGGACATCATTTTCGCATGTAGCCATGAGCTTCAAACGACTCCAAAAACAAAACCATACGTCTGGTTGAGATCAAAATTCACATTTATGCTGCAGATTTTTCCCCCTCTCCCAGTGTCTTTTAGGGTTAAAACTTGTATATTGTTTTTCAAATACTCTAATTCTTTGGAAAGAGTGTAAGAAAGTGAAGCCAGTCTCGCTGTGTTCAACTGTAGCCAATTTCTCTTTCTACTGTTCCACCATTTCATCTAGGGCTGTTAGCTGTGGAACCCGTTGAATTCCAAGTATCAGACCAAGGTGCTGATATTTTTGTAACGTCCTATCATAATGTTGTCATCCTTAACTCTTTGGAGCATTCCAAAGATTACATACAAAACTGGCATACAAGCGCAGAAATCATTACCAAAATCTGAAGATCTAAGGTCAAAAGGTGTGTTGCACTGACATGGAATGACCCAGTGGTTTTGCTATGTACGTAAAAATATACGGAGACTCAGGCATGCCATACACTTTGCGAGACATTCAATCCAGTGATGTATCCGCGGGGCAGGGGCAGGGGCAGGGGGAAACGTGCCCCCCCCACCCCAGGCCTTTTTTTTGAAAGATAATACTTCACAGGAGAGTAGGAATGAAAGTAATCGGTACATTTATTTATCAAATATTAGAACCTGAAGCCTGAGAAGATATTACTATTTGATTCCCCCACCATCACGTTGAATGCGCCCGAAGCCGCATTCAGTCCAGTCTTTTCAAAAAAGCGATGAATTGTTAATTTTTTCATTTGATAAAATTGGAAGTCAAACAATTGAAAAAAAGAAGAAATGCGTGCATACCGAAAACATAACTCAATAGTAGAAATGAAATGGTTTCATTTACTACTGCCAACCTACAGCTTGATTTCTTGAAGACCAGTGCCGTCGGCAAACCCAGTAAAGTGATCGTGCCTCCCATGCACGTGGACAAGCTCAAGGAAGCTTTGGAAGAGTTGCGGATTGAATTTGAAGTATACATTGACAACCTCCAACCCCTCATTGACGAAGAGACGAGAGCTATCACCTCACGCGAGAAGGCCACAACCTTGGCAAGCTTCGATTACAACGTATACCACAGCGCGCAAGAGGTGGGATCAACTTTTACTCGATTAAAATGTGAAAACGAACGAGCTGTGTTCTATAACTGAGATATAAATTTGTGATGGGCGAGTCACTTAAAAAATGGCTGCAAGTACTATTTCAGATTTTTCGTTTCATCACATTACTGGTTCTGTAAAGGTTCCGCAAATTTTACATTGGCTATTAATGGTAGATACAAATTTGAAAAAAAAAATGATGCCAGGGATAAATGACGCGTGGGTGTCGTTCAAGTGAAAATAACGGGAAGAGACCCTCGCTCACTGTGGTCGCTGAACTTGTTGCAATTTTTGTTTATTCTTGTTTAGATCTTGGACTGGGTGACAGACTTCAGCCAAACCGAGTCCACAAGTTCCCTTACCATCAAGGAAATCTATTTGGGGGATTCAGCTGAGGGATTTGCCATGAAGGCACTGAAGGTGAGAAAAGCACAGCATAGTGCACAGCTGTCTTTAGTTCACAGCTACTTGGTATTGTCCTGCAGGGAGATTATCTCCTCAAATTTAGCGATGGTCAGGAGTTTCAACCTCTTTTACCTCCATTTATATGAAAAGGTCAAAATAGAGACAAGGATAAAAACAAAATGAAAAGAATTTACCCTTATTTAGGATACAGTTTTATGTCTCAAAACAAAAAGAAGCGGGACTTAGAAACTGACGTAGTGATTAGTACTTGTAATTAGAATTGAATTTTGATTCATCATTACCCATCGCTTCAAGCAAACAGCATTACAAACCCCAGTCCGATCAGCTTTAAGTTGGTTGTTGCAAGTATACGGTTATCGACTTTTCAACAAGAAAAACAGGTTCTACTCAAATGCTACCTTGTCAACATAAATGTTTTTACATACGCGCTTCTCAAACTAAAGTTCATTTTCTAGGTTCTGCCACGTGCTGAACAGTACGTTTCCTCTTACAGATTTCTACAGGGAGCGGCCGGCTTGGTGCTTACACCCAAGGGGGCTTACATGGTAGAGAATGGATCGCACCTGCCACTGTCCTCAACCTCGTCCAAAAGGTCAGAAAATGCATGGCATATCTCATACCCACATAATGTTCCCCTTTTCAAAGATCCAGAGTTGACAGGTATTTTCGCGTGTTCCCCAAGCAACAAACACAATGCTGATGAGGGAAATTTCGAGGTTTCTCTGCAGAGAGTAGCAAACTCGTGTAGGGTTGGAATAGCAGCTCATCTCCTGAGCTGCAACATATTCTGCTGCTTTTTTGAAAGACGTCAAATGTCTGCAAGTGACATGTACCTTATGCAGTGACCTTCAAAAAATGCACATTCACCCAGCCCTAAATGCTCATAGCAACAGGATATTCCCGATCCCGTAGAGTCAACCCTTCTGATGCTCTGTTTAATTTGCCAGTTCGTAGCAGCCTTCAAAAGTGGGGACAGCGTAGCCACCCAGTTTTTCAACAAGTTTGACTGGTACGTTCTCCCTCTACTCAACCCTGACGGTTACCACTACACTCGCCCAGAATCGGTAAGTCTCATTTTCAACAATGCCGTAACCTGATTGCTCATCAAATTACTCTTGGTAGGTGTCTCCCATGTGTCGAACTGAGAGTGAAATTGTTTCAATACGTCCCTGACACAGCTTCGTAACAATGCATACACACAAGTTCGAGAAATGATGGGTGATTTTTCTTGTCTCTTCTTGATCTCTTGATCGTCACTTCCAGGAGCTGGAAGACGCTCCACTTCTATCAATAAAATATGCGTAAAAGCACCCTCCAAATACAATAGATCAACGGCTGCAATAGGATCTTGTTACTGTTGGTAACAAAATAAAACTCTTTCGCCAGTGGCACAGAACGTCAGATAGTAGTTATATGTATTAATTTTACCAGCTTTTACCAAATAATATGGTTTAAGACAACTTAGACCAATAAACGTTTTCAACGTGTTTTTTCTCTCAATTCCTAGGGCTTCCAAAAGTAATTGTCAATTTTTGCAGACATTCTAATTTTCCACTGAGTGAAGAACCAATGGCAGTTTATAATACAGTACACTTTAATTTTTTTACAGCCATCCTTCGACCGTTTGTGGCGCAAGAATCGTCAACAAGTTTCTTCTTTCTGTAAAGGAATCGCCATGAACAGAAACTATGGCTACAAATGGGGTAATCTTACTTCGTATTTTAATAAGTGGTAAAAAAAATCAAAGAGAGAAATTTGTGGGAACTGACTTTGAGTTAAAAGGCATTACTTTTACTTAAAGATAATGATCCGGCTCTTGTATGGGTGGAAAGGGTTTGTTGAAATGAGGTTTCAAGAATTCATTATTCAGTAGTTAAACAGGTATTTATTAATCGGTGGTTGGATGCGTATACTTTTATAACTTTTTGAGTAATTCTTGCAATTGCATTTTAAGAATATGAGTCATTTAAACGATGTCTGCCAGCCAGTTCAAGGAAACTTGAAGTAGGAATTCAGGTCAGCTCTTTTTCAAACACATTACTGCATGCAGTATATAGACGAGATTTTTATACTTCTGTTCAATGAAATTGAGAAAAGGGTGATAGTTTTTCCATTCTTGGAAACTTCTCTTATCAATATAGTGGGCACTAGTTTTCTTCTGTCGCACAAGGAACTACTTGTCAAAGAGCATAAGAATGGTATAAAATTGGTCTGTACACTTGCCCCCACAAGGATCCAAAGAATTATTACCGTTGTCCAAACAGGTTACTTTACTTGATAAACAAGTACAAAGTAGAACTTTCTCTAAGAGACTTTTAAGAAGTGTTGTATGTATTTGTACACACACAGCTATCGAACCACTAATGTACTGGCAAAGATGTCACGCTTAAGCTCTGAATGGAAATTTCGTGAGCATAAAACCAAAAAGTTGCAGTTTTTCCTTTTTGCTGCCACAAAGGAAATATAGAATTAAAGTATTACAAGAAACATTTTCAAATATATATTTAAGTTATAAAACACCCTTTTCGAATCTCATTTAATTCAAGGACTATTATTCGTGGGGCATGCAAATTTTCTTTAAAAGTTCAGAAATTTCTTGTTGTGTTGGCATGTGTGTTTCTGAAACAAAACTTTATGAGGCCAAAATTTGTGCAAAAGATGAGGGCGTGATCCTAACACATTTTGTCGTTGCCATGTCTAAGGATATTGTTAAGATTTATACGATCCTTAGATGTCAATGAGATACAAGCATACTCTTGAATGGATCTTCCTTTTGGGGTGTGGATGTGCTTTTCATAGCTTTTTTCATGGGTCCTTAAAGTCCTTAAAGTCCCAAGAATTACCCTGGAGGTAATTAAACAAAGGGTCAGGTTTTACAGAACGAGAAGCACTGACACAGTGCATGGAAAGAAACATTATTTGAGAGACCAAAATCAATGTTTGAGGCTAAAAGATTTTCAAGTCAAACTAAAAGACTCAACCATCTGGGAATGTACCTGCTTACACTTTTTTTCTTTATCCGTTCGAAGTAATAACCACACTGGAAATGACTCTCAGTAAATACGTGGAACATGGTTAACAAGAACTTTGCGCACTTTGTCCAGGTGGTGATGATACCTCCAGCAACCCCTGTAGTGAAATTTACAAAGGAGGTTACGCATATGAAGCTCAAGAACTCAAGCTGATGACGGACTGGCTGCTCAGCCTGAAGAAAAGTCAGACCTTCATGATCCATATGGATCTCCACAGCTACGGCCAGGACTGGTTCTATCCGTATAGCTATACTTCGAGTATTGCAACTAGTGATGACGCTGAGTTGGTAGGTATACCAGAGTATGTGGGATGGAACGACCGGACTACGTTAATGCCGTATGAACCGAGCAAGATCATGACCAACTATCTCTTGATTGGCAGACGACTCAAACTTGAAAACAAAGTTTCTCATCTCCCCTAACCACCCACCTACTGACTTCTGTGAGCTGGTGTGGAGTTTGGTAATGCCTACTTTTACCATCGAGATCTGCCACTGAGAAACGAATGAACTTGTAGCAAGCACTGAGGAAATCGAACTTTTGATAATTTCCCGGAATTTTCAATTCTAATCAAGCAGTTCCCCCTTCATAAAATAACAGATTCATTGTTTTTATGTGGTGTGACCTCATGGTGCTCAGCCTAACAACAGAACAGTCCCACTATGGTCAAATCTTCCAAGTCTCTCTT